GCGGGCGTCCGGCTGCCGGCAGCCGCTTTAGGGGGGCTCCGCGCGGCGCGGGGCGGCGAGAGCAGCCTGCGCGTGTCCCCCGGGTCGCCGTCCCCCGCGCGCGCGCGGCCTTTCCACAGCAGGTGGCCGAGCTCGGCCACGCTGAGCAGCGCGGACAGCAGCCCCACGGCGAAGTAGAAGAGCACGAACACCGTCTTCTCGGTGGGGCGGCTCACGAAGCAGTCGACCGTGTGCGGGCACGGGGCGCCGCTGCAGGCGAAGCGCGGGGCCACGCGGAAGCCGTAGAGCAGCGCCTGGCCGCCCAGCGAGGCCACCTCGGCGCCCAGGCGCAGCGCCACGCTCAGCAGGTAGCAGCGGCGCGCGCGGGGGCTCGGCCGCCCGGCCGTCCCCGCCGTCCCCGCCGTCCCCGCCGGCCCCGCCTGCTTGCCCGCCTGGTGCCGGGCGTAGATGACGAAGAGCACGGGCGGCGCCGACAGCAGCAGGATGTGGAAGAGCCAGAAGCGGTAGTGCGACACCGGGAAGGCGCGGTCGTAGCAGGTCTGGCGGCAGCCGGGCTGCAGCGTGTTGCACACGAACTCCTCCTGCTCGTCCTCGAACACGGCGCCGCCCACCGTGGCCAGCACCAGGATGCGGAAGATGAGCATGACCACCAGCCACAGGCGGCCCAGCAGCGGCGACTGCAGCTGCACGGCGTCCAGCAGCGAGCCCAGGAAGGCCCACTCGGCCATGGCGCGGCCTGGGCCGGGGGCGAGGGCGGGCCGTCAGGGACCCGCAGGCCCGCCCGCACCTCGGGGCGGGAGCCTGGCGCCCGCCTGACCCCGGCCGTCGTCTTGCACTATTCCCGATCCCGGGGAGGCCCGCCGGACCGGCGGAGCGCTCGAGGCCTGAACTCGCCCTCCGCTGAACTCAGCCCCCGGCTCACGGCGAGAGCGCCCGTGTCTCGGCCCACCGAGGGGAGCCCCGTCGCGCCCCGGCTCCCAGCCCTCCCACAGGCGCCGGCGGGGCCCCAGCACCCCCAGCCCGCAGCAGACCCCACTCACCCTGGGCCGGCTCTAGGCCTTCAAGGCGCAGCGCGGGAGCGGGGACGCCGGCTGGGCCCTGTCCTTCCCGGTCCCTCTTTCATTTTCCCTTTTGAGTTTGGATGCAGCCAGGATGGAGGACAGGACAGGGTGGCTGAGGGGCGCGCGCTCCCCCTTCTCTTAAAGAGACAGACGGGGTGACCTGCGGCTTGTGGCCCCACCCTGGCCAGCCTCTGTTTCCATCCCTCCCACCCCAGCCACGGCCAGGGCTGTCTGCACCTGCACAGGGTCTGGGTCACGGGGCACATCCTGTGGAGGGGACGGGATCCCGGCAGCCCACGCCCTCCACGCTGGTCTCAGGACTGCTGCTAAGGTGGTGGCCCGGGTCTTCTGGCCTGGAGTGTTCTGGCTGTCACCTGAGGAGGTCCAGCAGCTGTCCCCAAGATTTCATCCATCCAGCTCCAAGCTCATATTCGAGCAGGAAAGCAGCGCGTGGAAAGACCCAGGCATCCGGTGGGGCCAGCTCTGGTCCTGCGCGAAGGCTTCGGCTTCCTTCCTGCCTCTGGGCTGCACAGGGAACATCTTGCTTGGTTGGTTTTTTAAAGAAGGGTTGGGCACTGTAGCCCAGGCTGGCCTTGAACTCTTGATCCTCCTGCCTCAGCCTCCTGCGTGATGGGAAGCCAGGATGGAGGTCTCCTCTGACAGCTCTGGGGGAGGTGACGGTGTGTGGGGGGGTGGGGACTCAGCAGGGGCCGTCCTGTCCCCACCCTTCTGTGCAGCCTCCTGCTGGGCTGGGGCTTAGGTGGGAGGACACTGTTCACAGCGGGGAAACTGAGGTCCAGGGTCGTGAGTGTGTACACAGCTGTCCAGGGCATAACCCGCCCGACTGGCCCTTGGCCAAGGCTGGGGCTGGCAGCTGTGCTGGGCCAGGCCTGGCCCCTTCCTCAGTGCCTGGTCCTCTGTCGGCGGCGGCGGCGGTGGCCGCAGAAAGCTGTGTGCTTTTCCATCTGTGGCGGGGGCCGGGCGGCTCTCGGGAAGGGCTGGGAAGTGTGGAAACATCAGGCGACCCCTGCCTGGCTGCCACTGGTCACTTTCCACCCTCTGCAGAGGTCCCTTGGGAGTGTCCTGGGCGGGGACACAGCCTTGGACAGAGACCAAAGGTAGCAGCCCAGTGTTGGGGGCACTGCGGGGTCCCTGTGGCCCACCCTGGAAAAACCCAGCCGACCCTGGCCGTGAGGTGGGTGGGCGGGCGGGGGCCAAGGTCCCCGCTGTCCCCAGCATGAGGCCGCACAATCTCCTTCTCGATAGTGCAGGTGTTGCTGATGCTGCGCAGAGCTGCACTCCGCCACTGGGGCGCCCGGACCCAGGGAGCGCCGCCGCGACTGCACTTTCTGTCTCCTGCTGCCCTGGCATTGGATATCCATTTATTTTCAGTGCTGGGGCTGGAACCCAGGGCCTCTGCAGCGAGCTCCAGCCCCAGGACTGTTTTAGTCTTTTAGTTTGAGGCTTAGCTAAGTCACTCAGTTACCCAGGCTGGTCTGTGGCTTGTGTTCCTCCTGCCTCAGCCTCCCGAGTGTTGTGCTGGTAGGCGGGCTGCATCCAGCCCGGCTTTAATTCTTTTCAAAGGGGTTTCTTGCAAGAAAGCTTGCAGGGCCTGAGGCCACAGCAGCTGTCACCCGGGCCAGAGTCCTGCTGAGCAGGGACTGGCCACCACATCCCACTCGCTGGCTTCCACCTCAGGATTCCCACACAGTGCACACGAGGCATGGGCCCTAGGCCGCGGTGTGGGCTGGACTCCAAGGCCTGGGTCCCATCTGGAGTCGACTCCGAGGCCTGGGCGCCTGCGACCGAGGGGAGGACTGGAAATGCCGGCCTGGGAGCATCAGCGCGGAGCAGAAGGCCGTGGGCGCTGGCCCGCTTTCATGGATTCCTTTTGTGCTTTTCAGAGCTACTGAGATGTCATCCTCGGTGTCACAGATGTCCAGAAACACTTGAGGAGTGGGAGGAAAGAGGAAGCCTGGGTGGGAACTTGCCCTCTGGTGCTGTAGAGAAAGGAGCAAGCCAGCTGTGGCAGTCACGCCTGTTGTCCCAGCACAGGAGGCTGAGGCAGGAAGATCACCCTGAGTTTGAGGTCAGCTTGGTCTAGACTGTCTCAAGAATGAAAGACCTCCGTGTGACCTTGGGGCGCACGGGCGCCTGAGGACAAGCTCCCCGCCCTCTGGCACCCTGAGTTCTTCGGAGTGTTCCTGTCAGCCTGTGTGAATTTGCAGAGCTGCGGGGAGCGCCTGTGATCAGCTCCTGGCACGGCTCCAGTTCCTCCCATCAGAACCGGAAGCCACGTGTTACCCTTGCGACCAGAACAACAACGAAAAGAGATTATTATTTTCATTCTGAAAGAAAATATTTGCTATTTTTGTGAACTATTGGAAAAGTCCAAAAAAAAAAAAAAAAAAAAAAAAGAAACCCCCCAAATGGCACCCGAAGAGAAGCAGCT